TAGTTTTTTTTGATGCCTCACCCTAAATTGCATTCGACATGTCTCCAAACACCGTGCGATGGCTGCAAAGATCCGAATTGGGTCCAAATGCTTAGACGACTTCTTGTAGCGTGCTGTGAGTGCGTACTGGACATGCTTTGCTTACCCGGAGATACCTGGTGGCGTGTGCTGACTGCACCAGCTAAGGGACGTGAAGAAGCGCCAGCGCGTCTCCGAGAGCATGAAGTTCCTGCTTGCGCAGGAGGCGACGCAGACCAAGAAGGAGGAGGCCGCTGGTGCCGGAATCCCGCTGACGTTTGGTATTTGTTCACATCGCCAGGCAAGGGCAAAGCGCAAGGAGGCCATGAAGGACTGAGCTGCCGGACCCTGACGCGAAGCCTGCACACTCTGACCCGCGATGCCTTGGAACGGAAGCCAAAATCAGAGTCCATGCCGCTTTTGGGGCTTCTCCATGTGATTGCTTCATATTGCTACTGTGATGTTCTTTCCGCACGGTCGGATGGTCCGGACTTGTATGTGCAGAAATGACAGCTACTAGGACCACTTGCTTGCATCATCACTTCAGGGAACATGGATCGAAGCTACTGGCAGTATCACGCAATAAAGTTGGGCCAGAGTGGGTGAGCCTCAGAATCCAAGCTGCATGATCATGACAACTGAGGCAGATGCCTCGAGAGCTTGCGCCAGTTCTGGGAGAGTGTCACCGGCAGTTTTTTGTGGAATGTGAAGAGTGTCTGTGTAGAACCGAAAGCGCATGAACAAGCTTCTATGGGTGTTGACAGGTGGACACAGGTGGCTTGGGCTGATTTGGGGACCCGTGCAGCCAGATAGATGTTTCCTTTCAACGTCAATCATCGGAGCTGCTTCAGCGGACAGGTGGAGGAGAACGGCAAGAAGCCTGCAGCTTACAATAAGCTTTGCACCCTTAGCCACCTGCAGGCGTCGCATGAAATGCGTGGTCCACAGGTACTGGCGAAATGAGAAGCTGGGTGTTTCATCCTGGAAGGACCCCCAGCTTTATAGTTATTCGGGTTTTTTTGTTTCGCGTCTCTGCAGGATCCGAGACGAACAACGACTCTTTTCCAGGCGAAGTTGGAGTCATGTCGTTCCGCTGACAAGACGCTTCAGAACATTCCACCTTGCCAGGCAGCTCTAGATGGAAATCTTTTCTTCTTGCAGCTGTACACGGAGGTGGGTGGTTTCTTGGATGCTGCTGGGCTCCAAGCGATCGCAGGTTCAGAAGGTCTGCCTGAAGACGCCACGCACTATCGCTCAGGTGGACGGTAAGGGCAGAACGGCTCTCCATTACAATTGTGCTGGGGGTTCCTCACAGGTGCATTTGCTTCGTGTCCTTCTGGTATCTTGTCGTGGTGTAGCCAATAATCGGAGGCTGTGCACTACCTTCTGCAGCACGGCGCGAGCGTTCACTTGCCAGACCTGTCGGGTCTGCCTAGCGATGCTTGATGAAGCCTGGGGATTTTCGTGAGAGCTTTGCCTCGTGAATTGCGATGTTTCAGGCTCCACACCGCTGCACTGGGCTGCACGATATGGCCACGGCCCAATTGTCAGGCAAGTGCTCTGTTCGTGTGTCGCAATGCTCCCACTCCAGCCAATTTCTTTGACATGTCAAATTATTGTTGCGTTATGCCGGCACCTGTTCCGACATGAACTTTGTGCTCGCAGGAGCATTCCGAACCCTGCAAGCAGAACACCGAGGGACTTGCCGGCTCAACAACTCAGGGGAAGTGCCGAGGCCATGGGCGAGGCAGGCAAGACTGGAGCACGGGCAAAAGACCGTGGGGCTTCGGCGGGGGGCTGCGGAAATGGCTGTACCCGACCACGCACGATCCTGGCACGGTCCCGGTCCGACAGCCTTCGAAAATGAAGCAAAGGGGTTCTGAGAGGTCTCATCGACGTCCCGATCCTATTCCAATCTAGTACTCTTTCGCTTGGAATGCAGGTTGCTCCTGGACTCCAAAGCTAGTCCAGATGAGCAGAACAACATGGGCGACACCGCCATGCACGAGGCAGATGTGTGCAGTGCCGCCCCACTTGAATTCCAAAAGAAGAGTGAATACAGGCTGCAGCGCTGGGGTTGGTGGAGCCCTTGCAGTGGCTGGCCACCAGCTCAGAGTCTTTGCTCACTTTCAGGCGGCCTCTTCACGCTCGCAGGTGGTTGCCAAGGCCAACTTGTCGCTCCGAAACCGCGAGTCTCGGACGCCGCTGGAGGCCCTAAAGCCGGGGTCCCTCACGAGTAACCTAAACTTCCAGCCTCTGTGATCAGCGCCTACCCTGGTCAGCCATGTTGCAAGGCAGGATAGCAACTCCTCCAGTACGTCTCACACCAAAGTGAAGTGCAACCCCTGCCATGGACATGGATGCAGACGACAAGTATGTGACGCGACAGCACTCGTCGGGTGGGTGAAGGATCCCCGAAGGCAGACAGTCGAGGTTTGCCGAGATGTCCGGGATAGAGAGAAGCTGCAGGACAACGGGTTCACATGTTCATATCTAGTCACTAGTCTCCAAGGAACAGGGCATAGGCTATTGGCAGGGCTGGCAATGCGCACCGCTCTGCTGGCTTGCTTTGTGCTGAGCCATGCCGAGCTGCTCTGCTGGCGGAATTCAGTGCCAAAGAGGAGCCCTTCGGATCTCCTCAGTACTTTGCCAGCGTAGCAGCGTAGCGTGGAATGAGAGTCTTGTATGCAAGGTTGTGCAGTAGTTGCTAAAGTCCGGGAATCTGTTTCAAGCCTGAGATTTGCCGAGGCCCAGCTCGTGCATAATGTTCGAAGTGAAGTGGAGATAATATGTGGAAGGAGCCGCAGCGCTTGGTCCAATGCGCGATGTTTGCTGCAAAGTTCTGCTGAGGTCCATCCGACTTGCTGACATTCTGATCGGCTCTAGAAGCTAGAAGTACGGCCCTGCAGGTCCCGCAGTGCTCCTGGCGTGTTGCCAGTCGCAGCGCGACGCGCTGGGAAGTGACAACCTTACAGTTCTGACTTGAGACACTGCGTCTCCCTCTTTATGGTCCATGGAGGTCACAGCAACGCTGGACATGCATTCTGACGCGCTGTGCGGGGTTGCGTGGTCCCCGAACCAGCAGCGGATACTCACTGCAAGTGCCGATGGCACCGTGGGTGTTTGGGAGGAGCACTCGGGTCACCAGTGATACTGTACCTTGTGGAGTGGTGAAGCTGCCAGGAGCAGAACATCAGCTACTCTCCGGTGCAAAATCACGACCCGGAAGCATTTCAACTGGTGGCTTTGGCCTCGAGTGCACATGACACGTCGCCTTGCCAGAACGCTCGAACTTGCGAGGCCATCCTTGGCTCCCACAGCCACAGTCCGGTCCGTGATGCGACCTGGTCACCGGACAGCGAACTGATCCTAGCTGCAAGTCTGGACGGCTCGGCGAGAGTCTGGCAGCCCCTAGGCATGAAATAGAGGGCGACACAGAGGCGCTCTGACACCTCTTCAGCCCAGGCTCGAGGGCGACGCGCGCCGGATCCTGCGCAACGTGAGTGAGGAGGACTTCCACTCCGACAACGCCTCGGAGGATGACAACTTTACCAGGCTCTTTGGCTCTACGAGTGCCGGAGAAGACAACTGAGGGCATAGAATGGCTCGGGGCAGGCTTCGGCCTCCTGCGGTGCAGGGACGTCTCCTGGAGCCTTGGTCTGTACACTCCATGCTCATGCAGTCGGACACGGCGTTGGCATCCAGGCTGCACAGGCAGGAAGGGGTATGATATGCTGCAAAGAGCAGCGCAGCTCAGTGCCAAGGCAGTGGAGTGGAGCTCCAATGAGAGTGCTGTAGGTCGTGTGCTCGCCGGCTCGCGGCTCGTCGAGATGGTTCAGTGCCATGGGGGTAGGTGGGCAGTGGTGGATATCTCCTCATAAGATGAGACTTCCGAGGCGAGAGCGAACCGCCTGTGTGTCCCATCGCGATGCGGGCCAGACGCTAAGACTTGTACAAACCCACTAGCACAGGCACATGCATTTGCTTGTATATTGACTACTCTAAATAGACGGTCCTAATTCCAAAGGGATCACTCAATTATTTGGGCACCTGCCGTGAACTGGAAGCTGACTGTTCTGTCTCTCCCATGCTGTTTTCCTGAACTCTTCGAGTTCCGCCATCCGGTCACACCCAGTGAGCTCCTGAGCTCCCTATACCCACAGAGCAACTTCTCCAGCGCCACAGCCGAGGCTTCGAGCCTTGCGCGTCCAGCCATGAGCTCGCAGAGCGCAGCACCGGGGCTTCCTACCTGCTAGGCGGGCATGCTGTTCGTTCGCTTCGAGTCTGTACATTCTTGCGAAGTTGCTAGGAGTCTAATGGTCGTTCAGAAGTCGCAGCCCGTGTGATTCGGGCATCAGCAAAATCACAACAACGTCGCTGGGTGTTCTAGCTGTTGCATGAAGCATCGCATTTTGCGTGGGATCCTGTGCAGGGGCCTGATTCAATGATCTATGACCAAGGTGGTGAGACTCTAAACTTACGAGCCCACCGTGTCAGCGTGTCCTATGCGGAGCAGCATATACCTAACAGACTTGTAGACCTACGTTGTAGGATTGCCGTGAGAACGCCAATTGCAATACATGCCAGAGAGCATGAGAAAAGGGAGGGTTTCAAAAGGGTAAGGCAAAGATGAGAAAGCCTGTTAAAGTTTCTGCAGACATTCAAAAATAAAGACAGCCATCAAAGCAAACCCATCAAATTGCACCCGAATGCTCGGCATGGGCATAGTCTGCAGGACACTGTTTAACCAGACACATCTTGCAGTTCCTTGTAGATCTCATGGGTGGGCCTGGGCAGACCGGAGTAGCCCCCCAAGCTCTGCAGGTTTGGACCATTCTGCATCAATTTGGCATGCGAGCAAAGCCATGGACTGAGGATGCTCTAAGTCTCTAAACCGCGGAATCCGCAAGCAAAGAGTAGCAGCGATGCAGTGCCCTTCACTGCAGGAAATTCCCAGCCGCTGGGCCCTGGAAGCAACGCTGGAGGCCAGTCAGTCCAGAGCCGCTGCCACCACCTTCCGCTGGAGTCTGAAGCTCCGCTCCTCTCAGGGCGTCCATCACTTAATGGTCTCTGTTCGCTGGTCACCAGACGGCAAAGAGCTCCTGCCTGCCGCCCAGATTCCCCAAACGAACGGCTGAGATTCGCGGCTGCTTAGCACCAGGACGGGGGGCAACGACGGCCTCGCCCGCATCTGGACCCTTACCGACACGGACTTCCAGGGGAGCGGTCTGGCCGCTCAGTTCCAAGCCCAAGCCACCTTTCGGAGCGATCTTTTTAGGTCGGCAGCGCTGGAACCTCCGGGCGAAGATGCAGGTGCACAGCCAGGCGGGTGTGGCATGTGGGCCTCTGTGAGAGCACTGAAAGCGGAAAGTTCAAGGCTGTTCGAGCCGTTGCCTGGTCTCCTGATGGACAGCACGCGCTCGTGACAGCACAGCTTCCAGGGCCTGGTCCTGCCTGGTCCAGATCCATGCCATGAGTCAAGAGCCTGAGGTGCTGACGAGCGGTCGTAAGGGCTACGCATATATCTGGTCGGGGACCGGGTCGTATCTCGAATCGAGCAGCTGAACAGCTTGGAACAGCGCAATCCTAAAGGCATCCCTTGGAGGGTGATGCCGACTGGGTGCTCAAGGCACGCTTGGGCTGAAGCTGTCTGTAGCGATGTCAAAGATTCGATTTCTGATCTGATTCCCGCTTTGACCCCATGCCAGAGAGTTGCTTCTCTCATACACTATACGCTGCCAGAGGGACTAAGCAGTCAAAAGGCAAACCAAGCTCCGGGAACACCGGGTTGCACTACCTAACTTGGACGGAGAACGACGGTGGTATCCTGGACAAGGGCTGCCTGCGATCCAATGCCGCAGCATTAAACTTCCGGCGACTGCAGTTGTGTAGCAGGCAGCGCAGTTATTCTTGCATGCCATGCTTACTTGAAACAGGATAAGTTTGCCCATCCAGAGGTGTACCGGCACTTCGTTTGAACATTTTGCTATTTATGAAGATCTGCCGACTGTTTGGCAACTGGCTGTGCAGGGGTTCCTGACGCAAGCGAATGGCATGGAAGTGCCACCGAACTTGTGACTCGACAGCCATGATGAGCATGGAGATGTAGATAGGCGTGTGTCTGCGTCTCTGTCTGTCTGTCTGTCTGTCTGTCTCTGTGTGTGTGTGTGTGTCTGCGTCTGTGTCTGTCTGTCTGTCTGTCTGTCTGTCTGTGTGTGTGTGTGTCTGCGTCTGTGTCTGTCTGTCTCTCTCTCTCTCTGTGCGTGCGCATGCAACTGCTTGCCTATTCAGGCTTCCATGTGTCATGGTGCCAGAGTTGAGGACGAACACGGCGTTGCATTCACCAGTGAACCCGGAACGCCTGGACACTCTGCACTCGGACTCCAACATGGGCCGGTGTCCCAACTTTTCACAGGCAATAACCAATAAAGGAGAACGGGAAGATGTGCGTTGCATCATTTTGCCAAGGCTGGGTTTCCGACTGGTCGCCTGTCCACGTTGCCTCCTGGTCCTCGGACGGGCGCAGGGTGCCATCCAGCTAAGTTTGTTGCGCTTCACTTGGAGTGTGGGCGAAGCTATTGCAGGCTGTGTTCGTTTCTGTAAACTGTTTTGCTAATGTTCGCTCTGTACTATTCGTGGAGTTAGCTACTGGTACTTGTTGCAAGCCTGTTCCTCCTCCACATGACATATGGCACATGAGCACGCTTCGCTTGCTTGTTAATGTTGATCGTGCTTGCTGTCTAGAGGCACTTGCAAAGTCTGGGACGTGTCGTGGTCCGTTGCTCGTTATCCATGTGCTGCCCAGCACGGAACACTCAGAGTGATACATTGCTGAATCCTGAAGGGAAAGAGTGTGGTCCAAAACTACATCTGGCCGAGTCCGTCCAAAGTTGACTTATGCAAGACACCACAAACCCGCGACCTGCACAGTTGCAGTTGTGTCAATCCTAGCTCCACGAGTGGTGTTGGCAACAGAGCATTGCATTTTTGCCAGTTGAGGGTCTTTCGATCCATGCCTGGCCAGCATCTGTAACACGCTCAATGCAGAGGCGGCCCGACGAAAACGAGGTGTAGAAGACGGTACAGGATCTCTCTTCCAGGTTCCATCTCTGCGCAGACTAGACATGCCCGTGCATGCGCGGCAGATCGCGACCGGCAGCCCAGACGGTTCAGTGCGCCTGTGGTTGAACGATGTGCCTGGGCCCTGACGTTGTTCTCCGGTGTTCCTTGGTGGCTGCATGTGAAGCAAGGTCAGTTTATGGCCGCTGGACGTTGGAGGCAACCCTTCATGGCCACTCTCACGAGATCTGGTCCTTGGCCAGGATGCCCAGGAGCCCTGCTGAGAGCTCCCGTGCCCTTCTTGTGCGCCAAGGCCTGGTCTCCGGACAGCCGGGAACTGGTTACGGGCGACCAGGCGCGAGATGCAACACACAAGTCTCTTTCGGTTCACTGCCCGCCCGCTCTGACGAAGCTTGGTCGAGCTCGGCTGTGGCGGATGAGAGATGAGGACAAACCTGTTCAAGAACAGTGACGCTTCGGTGGAATGCTAAATGCTGAGTGCTATTTAACGAAGCTGTGTGCCCTGAGGACATGCAGCACTGATGACACCCCACCGCGGAGACTCGATGCCGTGTCCAAGGTTTTCGGTAGACGTCTGAGCAGGCATGCCGCCACGCACCAGTAGTGCGTCGGTGGAAGTCGGTGCCCTCACCACCGTGTCCACCTGATTGACAAGGAGTTGAGTAGTGCAGCATACATGTGCTTGGCCTGGCTTAAGCCTAAAGATAATGAAGCCGCTTGTGCCCTCAAAGAGGGCATTGGCGAGAGAGCTGAACAAAATTGACACACTTCCTTGCAGAGTTGCAAACTGCAGCGTGACACTGGTGGAACAGTGCTGTGGACTGCAGATTCAGGTGGCAGAGCGAGCTCCCTCCAAAGAGGCCCTGCAGCTGCTACAACGCCTCGAAGGCAGCAGTGACGCCTTGGATTGCCACACAACGAAAAAAACCTCCTGCTTGCTGATCAGACGATGACCTCGAGCAGTCTGGCCCTCGATACATCACCGATGCCATCCCTCGAAGCACAAAAGACTCTGCCGCTTGGCTTTGCTTTCTCTTCTTTCTCTTAGGTCCGAGTCGGATGCTGCTCGCACAGCACGGCGCGAGCGCCGCGCTCTGGCAGCCCGCGCGAGAGAGCAGGCGGGGGGGGGGGGGGCGNNAGAGGGGGGGGGGGGGGGGGGTCGATTGCGCTGTTCTGTTTGCATGAGCAGATAGAGCGGGAGCTCTTGAGCTGCCTGCTTAGAGCAGACTGGAAGTGGGAGGATAGGGGCACCGGATGGCATCTTCAGCGAAATTTGCAGAGTGCCTGTCCTTCAGCGAGACACAACCCTAGAATGAGTCTCATTCCTGTTCGTAGTATGAATCCGTTGTGCGTCATTGCGACACTGATCTTCATTGCCGCCTTGCACCACTCAGCCATGATCCTGAATGGCGCGGCCACTGCAGGTGACCAGCCCCGAGCACGAGGAGTCTTCTGGGGAGGAGATCCAAAGCATGAAATGTGTCGTGCTTCCACAAGACTTGGGGCAAAACTCTTGCTTTGTTACATTGTTCGGGATCAGACCGGCCTTCATTGAAGCCAGATTTAAGCTCTGACCGACAGATGGCAGGATGCACGGCTTGCTCAGCTCTTTTGCATCCAGCATCAGCTTCTTCTCGTCAAAAGTCATTGCAAGAAAATGTCCCAGTGGGGAAGGGAAGGTCGCTAAAGAAGGGACTCCTGCAAGAGATGTGGCCTCTGCAAAGAACTGCAGCGTTTCATTTCCTCAGAACCCATCTCCTGGAGGATGATTCGCCTTCCTTGGCGCTTGCGGTTGTGCGGGCCGCGAGGTAGGGGAGCCTCCTCCGAATTCACCCAGTGATTCAGAAAGTTTGACGCAGGCCCTTGCTTCGCAGCGTGCAGTGGCTGGCTAACCGTGTCTTGGGCGAGAAGAAAACGAACCTCGTCGAAAGGCAGAATTATCGTGGCTGAATTGACGCGCCGTTCTGCTCCTCGTTGTTTGCATGAGGAACCTTGGAGACACAAGCCAGCTGGACTTTCAGCTTCCTGTTGGTTCTGCCACGACGGCACACACCTTGGACCTTCCTTGTCTGCAGCCTCAGGTTCTCCTACGACCACATGTCCGGGCAGTGGGTGTTGCAGAGGTCCGGCACCATGAACTTACAAGAGATCAGCTGCATTCGTTTATTTGGGGAGGCAGCCAGGGGCGGAGGAGGAATCGGCTTCGTCGGAAGACCAGACTTGGCCGGCTCCTCAGATAGCGAAACCTGCTGAAACCCAAATCGCCGAGCAGCCCGAGGTCTCTCCCGGAGAAGCACGGAACGAGGCCCGCCCGGCATGCGCTCGTAGGCGACTCCTACGCATAGCTGCAAAATAGCTCAGCACTGGAACACGAAAACGAGGCCTGGCTTTGCGCCCGAATTACGCTCCCGCCAACAAAAGGGAATCATCTTCTTCTCGCATGCCCAAACTGGAAACTTGGCGACCCTGTGTTTGGCGAAGAGTCATGGACACGGGTGTGGAGTATGTCGCAATGGGGCATGCCCGCTAGCTCTGAACGCATTCGGGCCATCATATGGAATGCCGGAATGCAAGGAAGCATGATGAGCCGAACGCCCGCGGAGCATTTTTCACAGCCGCAGATGCAAGAAAGCGAACACAATACCATATCTGCAGAGCAAAAATCCTGGCCAGTTCGGACGCATGCACGTTGCCACCACCAACAAGGGTACTACACGAGAAGAGCAAGAAGCGTCCACAGCACACCGCACAAATTGGTTCAGGGTCTTCCTCAATACCTTTTGTAAGTTGTCTCAGCGCCGCCAGGCACCAAGACACCGAAGATGGTGGCATGGCCTGAAGCTGTACCTGGGCCTGACATGGCTTGAAGCAGCATCTCTGAACAACTATGTTATCTTGGTTTAATTGGGTTTGAGTGTGTGTGTGTGTGTGCGCGTGTGTGCGTGCGTGCGTGCAACGATTTGAATCTGGTACTGTGATGCAAGTTCAGCGTCAGACTCAGCTTCACTCCATCGTGTGTGTGGCTATGTCAGCGTGTGCAAGCGGCAACTGTAGCCAGCTAACTTCCAGTTTATCCTTCGTTTGCCACAGCCCTGCCAGAGCTTGCAGATGCTGGCACACCTTGCACACCCTCAGCTTTGATTTTAATCGTGCAAAGAACACAACAACACAGTCTCACTTTGTTTGATGCTTGAAAGGTGTCCACACCTCGGACAGCGAAAAGCCAAAACCGTAGTTGAAGAAGGGAAGCGGGAGGTAGCAGCTAGCAGATCTGTCCATGCCCCGGTACGACTGCACAGCACTGCAGCCACTAGCCTTGGCTCGACCGATCTGGTGCGACAGTGCCCGGGCCCAGCAGAGAGGTGGGGGGGCGGCTTCGAGTTCTTTCGACCAGAGGAACAGAGGTTCTTCAGATTTAAGCGCTGGAGCGTGCTGCGCCGCTGGCCAGGCCAGGCCAGGCCATGCCGAACGCGGCCAGCGGTGAGAGGTCCACTTGTATCTTGCATCCGTGCATTGTCTACATGCAATTTGGGACGCGCGGCAGGACAGAGGACAGCTTGATACAGCTTGATCCAGCATTTGCACCGAACTGCAGCACTGAGTGATTAGGAAAGCGAGTTAATAGACACACACACACACACACTCACGCACACACAGAGAGACAGACAGACACAGACACAGACACAGACACAGACACAGACACAGTCACAGACACAGACACAGACACAGACACAGACACAGAGACAGACAGACACAGACAGACCGACACACACAGACCGACAGACGCAGACGGACAGACGCAGACGGACAGAGACGACAGACAGACACAGACACACACAGACAGACACAGACACACACACACACACAGAGACACACACACACACAGAGACACACACAGAGAGACACACGCAGACACACACACACACACACAGAGACAGACAGAGACAGACAGAGTGGGTTGACCTTCGAATGCTAGGCGCCGCGGCGCTCGCCGTGCCTGCCATGTCCTGGCTGCCCTAGGCCACTCGTGCGATTATCTTAAGGATCATACCAGCACCACACATCCGCCGTCAGCAAGCGTTTCCCGCCAGGTCTGCTGGGAGCACTCCGAGCTGGAGCAGCTTTCGCATCGACCAGGCAAGCGGAGGGCGGATGAGGGCGGTGCTCGTAGCGACGAAGCGTTGAAGACTTGGGTTTTTGGGTGCAAGAGGCAAGCGGTCGAGGGAGCCAAGGAGGTCCCACGCCGCCAGCTGCTGACAGGCGATGTGGAAAGCGGGAAAAAACGCGGTCTTGAGATGGGTGCTTCGAGGAGCAGGTTTGAGCACCGCCCTCACAGCCACGCCGGCGCTAGCCTTCGAAACGTCCAGACCCCACATTGAAGCAGCTCTTAACACGTCAGCCTCAGAGAAGCTCGCTTGTGTTGTGGCAAGAGGTGGGTAGATTCCAACCAGGGCTACGAGTTCAAGTTCCCAACCGGCCCACAGAAGTCCGCTGCTGGGTTTAGAGTTTCGAGTGTCGAGGACAGAGTCACAGAGGTCGCAGAGTGTGAGCTGCGCCAAGGTCCACCCTCAAGGGCTACGATGTCTTCTACCGAGACATCCTGGAGCCTCTCGAGTACATCGGTGTCAAGGCCACAGTGACAGCTACCCGCAAGTAGAACCTTGGGCAGGTCTTCTCATCCGCTACAGTAAGGGGCATGACGCAGACACGGGGTACCTGCCCAGAGTTCGTTGCAGATTGTCGGAACGCAGCGCAACAGCCTCGATGACGTCGGCACACCGCAGGAGGTGCACAGTTCGGGTGTGTGTAAGAGAGACAGAGCGAGAGTGTCTATGCCGAAGAAGAAGAAGAAGCCATGTAAGCTCTGGACCTTAGTTCCAGTACTAGTTTTCAGAGGTGGTGTTGCGCGGGGAAGTTGTAAAGACGGAGCAGAGACTTAGCAGGTACCGTGTCCGGAAGACCAGCGGGTTAGAAGGCTAATATGAAGACTCTGAGTGATTGCTTTTGCACTGACATTGTGATCCTCGGAGGGAACAGATGGCTAGTCAACGCTCCTCGAGCAGGACCGAGTGGATGCGAACCCGGGGGCAGGCCTAGCGCCAGGGGTTTCGGCCCCATGCTCCAAGCAAGCAAGCAAGTAAGCTTCAGCAGGAATGAAGCCGAGGGCGGGGGGAGTTGTGCATATTCTTCGCTCTGTCTCACGCCGCCGACTGGATCGTTGGAGTAGCGCGGATGCGCAGGCCGAGGGGGTTTAGGCTCCCACCCGCCAAGCAAGCAAGAGCGAGAGAGAGAGAGAGAGAGAGAGAGAGAGCCACCCTCAGTTTCACACCGACTGCTCTAAGACAGACAGGGCCGTAGCGCGAGAGCGCAGGGATTGTGGGGGTACCCCCACGTCCCAAACGGCGTGCAAGCAAGCAAGCAAGCAAGCAAGCAAGCAAGAGAGAGAGAGAGAGAGAGAGCGGCGCTCCTCCCTACCCTCCTTTGGCTGTGCAGAAAGAGAGCCACTCATCCCCCATGCCATCCCATGCCCGGAGAATAAGAACGGAGAGCGAGAGAGAGAGAGCGAGATCTGTCACGGGGAAGTCTGCCACCATGGCAGCGTGTGCATGCACGCAGCGGATTTTCGAAGGGTTCCTTCAGTGTTGCTTTTTTTGGGAGGCGTGGCATGTTTAGAATCAGAAATAAGGTCGGAACAAGCGGCAGTCATGGCCTATGGGCTTCGCAGAGGTCGTGTCCTTGACAAGTTGGCTCAAGCTTGGAAGCCTGATTTGCACGATGCATTGTTAGAGCGACTTCGTCTGAGTGTTCTTGCTGTCCAGGACCGGTCGATTAAAAGCTGCATGACATCCGTGGCACACAGCCGGACCGCAAACTTTGCACTTTACAAGTGAGCAAGTGGCACTCTGGACCCCATGGCTCGGGCTTCGCAACCTCCAGGCCTGACTGCAGAGGCATAGCCTTTTTGAGGGACAGCTAGGCTTCAGAATCCCATCTCCAGGCCGTACAGCCCGCGCGGCTGGCACCTGCATTTTAGTCGCAGGGGTCCCAGAGCTGCGTGATCCCCTTGTTCCAGCAGCACATTCACATTCCACAATGTTTCCTGTGGGTGGATGCTTGTTGCGCTGCAGACATCGAGGTGACCCCTACCTCACCTCATAACCAATCAAGTCCCGGAGGCAGTCAGGAGTCAAATGGTCTGCAACAGGGTACCTCGAGTGTACACATTGCTCAGGCATTAGCAGCGACGTGTGGTTCAGTGCCTGGCCCAGAACGCAGAATCTCATGCTTCACAAAATTTTACATACGATCTGTGCCTGAAGCTTCCAGGCATTCGTTGCTGGCAGGCTTGCGCAATCCGGCAGCAGGCCAGCACTGCCTGAATCTCCTTGGCAGTGAAGTCTGCTGTGTTGGCCTGCCTGTTGCTCTAAATTCTAGTGGAGGCCCCTGCTGGCTGCCCGAGTCGGTGGACAGGGTGGTGAGAGCCGTGGCCCCAAAGCTGTCCCTAGCGGCGGAGCCCCGAGCAGCAATCCCTTGCGACCGTTTGATATCTCCAAGTCACATTGAACTTTCTTATTGCCTCCGTACACCGGTCCTTAGTCCTTTGTTTTGTCTAGCTCAAAAAGCTTGCAGTGGCAGAACAGAGTGCAGTCAGCGCAGTTCCTTTTACTGCTGCTGGCATTCTATGATGACACGAGACTACACTCCAGCGCTAGGGCGATTTGTCCAACTGAACGCGTGCGATGCCAAACTCGCTCTCTGCATGGGGCATTCGACAGGTCGACAGCTCGTTGTCTCTACAAGACCTGCATTGACCTACATGTACATAACGGTACTTACAAATGCTTCAAACCATGCAGTCGGTCATTCGACAATTGAAACTACATCGATTGACGCAGTCGACTTCTTGGAAGAGGTTCCTGATTGCCGACGCTGATTTTCAGGCATCCTCGTGGAGAGGCAGATTTCCCAGCAGCGTCAGGTGCGCTTGGCCGCAGCACACCTCGAGCTATGTAACATCTGTAAGTGCAGAATGGACGAAGAGCCTTTCTGCATTGTGTGTGCGGTGGTCCAGCGGGCGTGAAGGGCGCGTTTCGCTTGAGGAGGAGCTGGGCACATCTCGATGGGCCTCGTGGCAAAGCGATGCGCAGTTGGCTGAGACCTGGCCCGTGTCTTGGCTGCAGAGCTAGTGTTGAAAAAGCCATCAACAGCATGAGTGAGAGAGAGAGAGAGAGAGAGCGCGAGAGAGAGAGAGCGCGAGAGAGTAACATATTTCTTCCCATACTTGGTACATACGGGGGGCGCCTGGAGCGCGGAGGGGGGTCGCTCCCTCTCCTCTTACAGAAGAGAGAGAGAGAGAGAGAGAGAGAGAGAGAGAGAGAGAGTGAGTGCGCGTGCGGGGGGAGGGGAGGGGAGGACATCCCCAACCTC